CATTGTCTCATAAGAGTTGCGATTTTTGTCACGTATGTCTATCTGTGAAAATCTTTTATTTATTGCTTTTCCCATACATTAACACTAATCTCGCATCACGTAACACTATAACCATATTACATATTACAGTATCACTGATAGTCGCAGCACTTCTCAACTCATTTCAATGTCAAAATACACTACAAGTCTATTGTATAATAGATTTTTTAGAAAAGGAATTTAAATATTATTTATATTAAGATTTTGATTATCAATTTCGTTAATACTCTATTTTAAGCTTACATTCAGTTTTTGCAATATTTTTAATAATTTTCTACTTTCTCTTAATGTAATGATCACTTCTTTTCTATTATTTGCATTCAATTAAATTGTTTAATAACTATATAATTATATGAATGTATGACTGAATTGAATGTCTTTGTCCGATAGGGCGCATCATTTAAGATTCCAACCCTCGAGAGACGTTCTCTTGACTTATATAACTTACACCGAATTGTCGGAGAAGAGGGAGGTTTTGAGATTTGCACCCGAGATAGGAAGTGGTCACGGGTTGCCGCACGTATGGGTTACGGAAGTATGTCTCCCATTATTTTGAAGCTATTTATCTGTTGACTAATTTGGTGTAAACTGTTGTCACGAATGAATAGATAACGCCTCCAATAGGGGAACCATAGCCTCACTCCTACGGCAACATTACGAACGAATACTCTTTCCATACGATGTGTTTCAAAGTGGAGCCACTATTGGACCCGATATTGTGAGACCCCTTTTGCCATCAAACAACTCTTGACATTACTTAACATTTATGTGTGTTTTAACGATAGGATGAGAAAAGTGTTACCATTTCATCAGATGATGACTGCGAAGACAAGAAAGCGTTGAAGTCATGCAATGATAGCAAAGAGTTGGCTACCCCTGAGAAGCGTGTCTTAAGACGACAATCCATTTCCCCATCAAATCAGAATCCACTCCTAATTTCCCCCAACTCCCAGAATAAGGAACTAAAGAAACTTCAGGTATACGGTGCCGGACCTAAAATGCCTGGATATGTGTCCGAACAGACTGAACGAGAGCGAGAACAAGCGGTTAAGGTCTGTGTCCTACCGCTTGAGCCGTTTACTGTTTGCCAATCACTTCAACTTCTGTTTGTTTGCATTAACCACAGGTTTGTCTCCATTGCGGTGAAACTAATCCCACGCCAATGCTGTTAACGTGTGACAACTGTACCAACACTTATCACACCCATTGTCTCATCCCTCCACTCAATGATTGGCCCAAAGGTTCGTTGATTCCTATAATGATGTGTTTGTAATGAATGACACTTTGGTTCATCAGGTGTATGGCACTGTCACCGATGTCTGGCTCTGTTAGTCCAGTCCTATCCCCAGCCCTACACTCAAGAGTTTGGTTTCGTTCAGTCGCAGAAGAGCTACACTTTAAGTGAATTCGGAGAAATGGCCGATCAGTTCAAAGCGGATTACTTCAATCGTCCGCCACATGTAATGTCATTCATGGTGTAGTCGATGACTATTCTAATGGACTGTCATTTGTTTGTTAAGTCGGTTACGCATTCTATGGCGGAGAAGGAGTTCTGGCGTTTAGTGTCAGCCTTAGAAGAGTCGGTGACCGTTGAATACGGAGCAGATCTGCATACAAATGATTACGGAAGTGGTTTTCCCACCAAATTGACTAAAAATCTCATGCCTTCAGATATGGTAGGAATTGACTAATTGATGAATATTTCTATTTACCCTGAATATATTATAATTACACGAAATATTGTTATATTAAGGAATATATAAACCATTTGTGGAATCTAAACAACATCCCAGTTCTTGAGGGCAGTGTGTTTCGTCACATAAATGCCAACATAAGTGGTATGATAGTGCCCTGGATGTATGTGGGNTACAGAATATGAGCACAGAATTGCCACAATCAATACAACCGGCAATTGTATGGCATGTGAACTAACTCTCGCCCTCTTGTTTGTCTCAATGCAATCACTGCACAATTAGTTCACTTTTAGTATCGTTCAAATTTAAATGATTTATTTTCATTTTTTCCTTGATGCTTTAATGAATATTACTAAATCAAACTTAATAGAACTCGATAAACTTAAATAATTCTTTAAAACCAAAAGTTTCAAATTAAAACTGACAGACAAATTAATAATGAATTTTAAAAGTCTCCAACACTTGATATTATTTTCCGATTTCTATATTAACTAAACTGTTATACTTACGATAATTAATATATCAGTTATATTTACAAGATATAAATTATAGTCATATTTAAAATTATACATTTACGGTAGTAATGTATGTGAGCTTTAAAATGTATTAATAATACAGTATTAGTATTAGTATTAAAATGAAATTAAGAATGAAACAGGACAATTATGGAAGTGGCATCACTTATAAATGAGTTCATGAAACAATAACTTATGGAAACTTAATGCTAACTTATTATACTGTATTTGATGATTATACAGAATCTCACTATAGGCTAAAACATTGTCACTAAATAATCAAGCTAATGTATCATAATATCATTTAAGCATGGTTTATTGAACACAGCCTTTAAATTTTAAAGTTTAAAACAACAATAGCCTGGTCACTGGTATTTTGTTCAATAGGTTCAGTAGAATAATATGGGATTTGAACAAGCTTGTTTTTGGTGAATAACTTTGTCTCGTATAACAGCTATTTAATGGTAATGAAGAATCAAATTAAAGTGTGTTATGAGTTAACAAACAAAACTAAATGATATATGAATATTGAAATATTCAATGAATAACTCAATTATAATTGTATGCAATATATGGGGAGTAATAGCAGTGAACATAACTCCCATTGAAAATGAGAACAAAAAAGTTTTAAAGCGTTTCGTAACCAATAGTAACACAGTTTAAGGTGAATATTGTATGAAGTGTTGGGTTTGTGCAATGTATTGGTGTCTGTATTTGAATAGTGTTTGCAATCAGTATACGACTGTTGGACTCAATGAGTGGTTGCAGTGAATGCAGTGAATCAATGGTTGAGTGTATGACTAGTGTTTGAAAAGTCTTTTTAAAGGCTTTTAAAGTGTTTTTCGAGAGAAAAGTGTTTTGTTTTCTATTATTCACTAAAAATACGCCATTTTTTGGCCACAAATACATCAATTATCACATCATCTGATCCACACTATACCACACGCATGACAAGACACACACTATGAGCACCACTTCCTCCACTCCGACCACCACTTCGGTGAACGCAGACCTCATCGCCAACACGACTGCCATCGACGCCAACGCTTCCAACACTTCCTCGTCAGCCACTCCTCAGCCAACCCACAGACCCAACACCTCCTCCAACACCTCCTCCAGTGCTGACTTCGAGTTCATCCCTCCGCCCGAATGTCCCGTCTTTTACCCCACGGA